TCTAGCTTTTCTCTTGTTTATTTCTAGTTTCATTCTGTTGTGGTTGGAAAAGATATTTGGTATCATTTCGATCATCTTAAATTTGTGGCTTATAATATGATCTACCCTGGAGAATGTTCTGTGTGCACTCGAGAAGAATGTGAATTCTGCTTTTGTTGGATGGAATGTTCTTTAAATATGTTAGGTCCATTCCATCTAATATATGACTCAAGTCCAATATTTGCTTGTTGATCTCCTGTGTGAATGATATACTCATTGTTGAAAGGTGGGCATTGAAGTCCCCTATTACTGTATTGTTTTCTGTTTCTCCCTTTGGATCTGTTAGTATTTGCTTAATATATTTAGGTATTCTGATGTTAGGTACATGTATATTTATGATTATTATATCTTCTTCATGAATTGACCCTTTATCATTATATAATGACCTTCCTTGCCTCTCGTTACTATTTTTTCCTTAAAGTTTATTTTGTCAGGTAGAAGTATAGCTACTTTCACTTTCTTTTGTATACCACATTTTGTTTATTCATTCAATTAGTGGTGGATATTTGAGTTGTTTATACCTTTTGGCTATTGTGATTAATGCTGCTATGAATGTTGATCTGTAAATAGCTGTTGAAATAATGTGGATTTTTTTTTCATTCTTTATCATAAACCTATTCATTAGGCTTACACAGTGTCCATGGTAGTAGCAGTGGAAATGTTGCTTCACTGGAAAACCCCCACTCAAGATCTTTGAATAGGGAGAAAAAAGTCTCTGTGTTCTAATCATATTTTGAGAAACTGCTTTGTCTTCTTGCATTGAGAAGACATTTTAGATATTCATACTATGTTAGACCTTTTCACTATTTAATGTTCAGGTATCACTTTTTGTTTATCACTACCTTCAACCTGCTCCACCCACTAACCCATGCAGAATGTAAATTCCATGAGTCTATGAATTTGTGGGGGGTGTTTTGTTTATTACCCTATTCTTGGTGCTTAGAACTATGCCTGCTACAAGGCAGTCAATAAGGTCTGTTGAATGAATGAATGAATGGTGCTTGACTGCTATCTGCCTCTATGTTTAATGGATAACACTTTAAAAGGCTCTAGATTTGGCTTTTGAACATCTCAGAATTTGTTTTCCTGAGGTAGAGCATTCTACAAGGATATATTTCTAAGTGTTATAGATCTTATAAACGGTGGAGACAAGGTATGAAAAATAATTATGTTGTATTGGGAGGTTAAAGAAGCTAGAGATGCACTAGAGAAAATATATAAATGGAATTTTGTATCCCTGTAACTTGATTGTATTTTTCCCAAAGTGGTATCGTATAAAACATCAAAAAAACTTCTACACTGATAACTTGGACTTAGGGAAAGGTAATAAATAATCCTTTGACCTTAACAGTGGAGGTTAAAAGACCCAATTATCATCAAAAAGATAAAAACAAAATAAGTCAGTACTTTCTAAAATAAGAACAGGTAATTGTTTTCTCTCAATGCAACTATTTATTGATTTGTATTGTTGTCAGTCTAGACACTACTTTAGCCGTCTCAGTCTCTGTCTTTTCTGAAGCACAAATTAGAGTTTTTAAAATAGTGAGAACTTTAAAACATTACTATAAGATAGTGGATGTGGTCCTTTTTCTTATAAGCAAGGAAACTTGACTCTGAGAGGTAAGATGATGTCCGGAAGCATTTTTTAGCTTTTGTCTTTGTTGCAGTCATTTACCTTGTCTTGGATTTTAGTAAGGATATAATCTCAGTTCCAGGTAGAAAGGGAGATCACAATGCCAGGTGTCAAGTCCACAAAGCAGTCTTCTCCTTAATTGCTGAAGTTTGACACATCCCCATGTTTGCCCCAGAAAACTTTAAACATTCTTTTATTGGCAATAGGGAGTTAAATTTCCTATGTAGACAAATTAACTTCAAAATTATAAGAAAAACAAACAAAACACCACTAAAGAGAGTGACCCCCTTGTTCCAACTTGTTCTAAAAGTAATTTCTCTCTCCTTTCCCTTTTCTATATTTTCCACAGATTTTTGTTGTTGTTGTTTGTTTTTCCTGTTTGAACTCTATTTATTTATTAATAGAGTTATTGCCCTATCTGAAGAGTAGATTTTGGTCAGAAACCTAATGAAAGTAGAAGAGGTCAAAATAGACTATTGAAATGAAGAGTGTTTTAAGTCATGTAGCTATTCTATTTGGGCAGTTCTTAAAAGGGGGAAGAAACTCTTGAGGGAGATTTAAAACTTTTTGTTTTACATAAAAGATTTTAAAAAAATAAAAGGATCTGAGTTGGCTTAGAGTAAAACGACAAATTAGTAGACTAAAAGAAAATAGAAGACTATATTTTGTAGATAAGCCAAATTCATGGTCTTGTGCATCAATTTTACCCGCTAAAACTCACATGACAGTGCGTTTAGAGTTTAATATTTTCTTGTTGTCTAAAATTGGCCATTGCAAACCCTGGTTTCTCACATACCCCATCCCTACCTCATCCTCAGCCTATTTCCAATTTTCTCAGAAGTAACAAAATAATCTCTTAATAAGTTTAAATGTGATTAAAAAGTGTACCCACACATCCACCTTACCTTTTTGTTTGATGGAAAGGGAGAATGAGGCAGAGAAGAGAAAACTATAAAGAAAATGAAAGATTAGTATCCTCATCTAAGTCTTAAGTTGTCAAGTCAAAACACCTTGTACATAATTCAGAGAACTGTGTCCATTGCCTTCTCCTTCATTCATACTGCTCCCTTTGCATGGGAAAGACCAGATATCTGGTTTCCAGAGTATTAGGCTTTTTCCTCAATACTTAGTAAAATTTATTTTTTGAAATTTGGAGAAAAATTGCAGCTCTTTCTGATCCTTAGCATTTTGTAGTGTAATAATTTCATATACTAGCAGTGTTTCAGCAGAAAATGAGCTTTGAATATTTATGCATTCGCAACAATCCAAGAAAGACTGTGGAAACAAGCTCTTGAAACAACCTTTATTTTGAAAACCCCATTATTCTAAAAAAAATTTACAGATTCATAGTTTTCATGAAGAATAAATAGTAGGTACAGTGCACCATATGGAAGGGGAACTAAATTGGTGGGGGAAGGTATGAGTAGATGACATTTCTTTTTCCTTGTCTGATTCCCACTAATTGTGTACAAAAATATACATTAGATACAGTATTTCTCCCTTCCTTAAAAACAATATTTGGAAATTCCTCTGCAGGGCTAATTTGCCATGAGGAATAGAAAGACTTTTAATGGGGTATCCTGGTCCCTATGGAGTGCAATCTGTTATAGTCTACAAGGAGAGGAGGGGCGGAGAAAGCTATGTGGGGGTCAGAAATAGTCATCTCTGGGAGTTTTTGAGGTATTAACTAGAAATAGGAGAAATAGCTGAAACTTAGAAATACCTTTCTTTCTGCCTTAAATCATAACCCAGGGTATATTAAACTTACGCTATCTTTAAAAACTATTTAGCAAGTGAGTTTAGGGGAGAAAAACTGTGAACCTTCTTTGAGATGGTTAAATTGCTATTCATTTTATATTTTAATCTAACCTACTGGTGATTTAATTTACAGAACTCAAAGGAAGTGTACGCTCAAATATTTGAGGACGTTAACGTATCAACCACTGTTTAATTTTGGAATGTGCCTACTTGCTTGACACAATATTTTACCATCTCAACAAATGTTTAGCCTTTTTTTTTCACTTGACTAAAGAGAAATAAGTTTCACATTGCTTCATTCACCTTCTTATGTGCATATGCTGGGAAAGATTGGATGTTAAAAAAAAAAAACTTCCTCATGTTCCTTTCTACTACATCTAAATCTGTTTACCAATTCAAAGCTGCTAAAAAGCCCTGCATTCTCTTGCTAAATCAACTGGATGGCTAGAAACCAAACTGTAATGTAAGAGGGAAAAAATTATCAATTTATTTTTGTGACAGAACATTCTTGAGAAGGTATAAAATTTTTTCGGGTCTCTGCCAGTTTTCTTTTTTCTTTCTTTCTCTGTCTTCCTCTTTTAAAGGCTTTCAGCTTTTAAGCCGATACTCTTTATGGTTATGTAACAGTTCTAATATTTTGTGACATTTTGTATTGTGACACTATAGATGAAATTGTCATCGGACTGACACTCTGTGCTGTTTATTCCTTAATTACAACTGTTAACACTGTAGAGAACTGTGCTAATCTGCCAGCACATATTATGAAAACAACGTTATTGTTACCCATACCAACACCAACTCAACAGGATATTTCCAAGATGGTAGTTTAAAGGAATTTATCAGCACAATGGATGTTTCAGTATAGTTTGTTTTATTGCTCACCCTATTGTCTTCTTTTAAAGACACGAACCAGTTTGAAATATAAATCTTTTATTGTAACATGGTACAGACTCCCTTTACTAGCAGGAGCTGCCTCTATAGTTAGAAAAATTATAATTTTTTTCATGTACTCGAGCAACTGTAGACTGAAGAATCTCAAAGCTGGTTAGGGTTGTGACCCAAAGCTTTCTGACTAACAGTTGTTTCAGAAATAACGAAAATAGAAGGCAGAGGGAAAGGCAACTTTAAAGATAAAGAGATGAGAGGGGTTATTTGCACACACATGGTTGGTAATCCTTAAATAACCCAGTCAAAATCCAATAACCATTCCAGATCTACTAGGTATCCTTTTTCAGAACCAAGTCTGAGCCCTGCTGAAACTGGCTACTTATAAAACGCTTTATAGTTCAGTTTTTTTCCTGCAGAACTTTTAGAAGTTTGATTATCTACGAGGGACAAAATCTTATGAATCTATTTTCTCATAAATATTATACTAAAGCAATTAAGTGTCACTGTCTTTTCATTTATTAAAAGAAACTATAATAGTGAGAAAATAACCACTTGGATCCTATGACTTGTCTCCATAATAATCGAAAAGTAAAGATTCTAGAAAATGTAAAATCAGAACTACCAAGTGGTATTTACTATTTAGATGAGAATGACTAAATGTTTTTTTAAAGAACACACAACACTCATTTAGCAATTTATTTAATAATCAGTCCGCCTTTCAATATTAGTTTTTAACACTTCATTTTTAAAGCAAATTCATGACCTCGATATAGTAGTAAGTTTCTAAGTGATAACCTGAGACTTGCCAGTTAGATTCTCATATCTTTATTGTCATTGAAGAGGTAGTGGGACAATATGAATATATTCGATTCCTAAAATTCCTGCAATTACCTGCAGATACTTTAACATTTAGCTTTACTAAACAGGTTTTTGAAAGAGTATGTGAAGAAGTTATTGCTGTGTTTCATTCCGAGTAGTATTTTATGCTTCATTTTGATTTTCAACACCAATAGGATATGGTGCTCTTCCTAAAAGAAATTGTTCCCATTTGGGAATACATTCTTCTACTGATGCCCAGTAAAGAGTCTGGAAAAAAAAAAAAAAACATCCAAAAGTAAAAAAGCATATCAAGCAATTGAACTTGGCTCTTCATAATAGTCTAAATGTTTATTCACTTAAGTGTGTATGTGCGTGTACACACACACGCACACACATATATGTAGAATGCACTTCCTCTACAGAATATTTTATGTTAATTTTAGAAAAAAATCTGGCTACTTACTAGTGTTAATTTTCAAATTTCTCAGTAAAACTAGAGCCTGGCAGAATTACAGGTTTTAGAATTTTATTGTGATTTTATACGCCCTCTTGTGGCCAACCTTGTGATTATTACCGGTATTATTCATGGCTGCACGGTCATTAAATGTTTTTGTTTAATTTTCCAGATCCCATACCAAATGATTACCCATACTAAAACTGTTACAATAAAATGATTAAACATGAACGACTGCTTTAAAATTAACATAAAAAGATTTGACCTGAAATATAATCAGGAATTGAAATGTAACTAGTATGTTATAGTATGGGTTTCAGGCAAATTGAGCCCTTCAGGCAAATTGTATGGAGAAAACATGAAAAAAAAGTGCATTCAATATAGCTTTTAGAAGAGCACTTGATAAGAAAAAATTTTAAATTCTTCTCAAGTTTTTTTTGTATAATGAGAAAATAATATCAAGATTATCTAACCATTTTTAATTCAAATAACTTGAAAGTTGAGATGCTATATTATTGGCCTAACTGTAGTAGTCTATTAGTTGTAGAAGCTCATACAACATCACCATATCACATCTACAGGCTTTAATAGTTTCTTGGGTGACTACCTGAAGGAGTCCAAAGAAAAGTAAACTGCCAAAAGCTCTTTGTCATAGCAGGGCATTTTATATTAGATCATCACTATCAATCTCATTTTGGGAAATTCAGCCAAAGAGACAGCATTAAAAACACATAATTATTCACTTTGACTATTAAAAAGAAAGTTGAAAATGGTGAGGGATTCTACATATATATACATCTATGCATGTGGTCTGAGAAACAGCCTGACATACTTAAAATAAAGGTCATCCTGCTGTGCAAGACTAGCTAAGAAAAATACCAACCGAGGCTTGTGGTTGGGAGTTTCTCCACCATTCATGGCTGGATTAACCCCTATTGTGTGGGCCCTGTACAGGCCAGAGTAAGGTATTGGAGAATTCAACAAAGAAAAAGACATGCCCAAGGCACAACTTTGTACCAGAGTTTCTTCTGTCCTTGATCACTGGCTTTTCTTATTACTCTAGATGACACAGAAAATCGTGGGGCAAATTCTCAGCTTTTAATTTTGAGTCTATTCACATTCCTGGTTAGGCAGCCAGAAAACTGTTTGAAAAAGGTCATTAAAATATAAAATCAAACTATTCTATATGTAATAAGTTCCCTTTCATCAAAAATACATTCATATGCCAAATATGGTTTATTTTTGCCAACCAACTTCCCAATCTGTTCTTGAACTGAGCAAAATAAAACAGACAAAAGCCACACTGTACTGCATAACATGTATTTCAATAGTGTTGGTTGAATTTTTGGTAAAGGGACTGAACTACTTCTAACATTAGCCAACAGGAAAAGCACTTTGGTTAGGCATGCTGTCATCTTAAGATTTAGGGCATACTGTCTGTTATTGTTCAACAGGAGAGTTATTTCTAAGTAACTAGGTGAAAAGACACAGAATCTTTATAAAATTTTCACTTTATAAAATTTTTTTTTAAATTAAGATACTTACCAATTACCTACTATGTACAAAGCATGGCACTGCAGACATATAAAGATCAGACACGTCTTGTTTACTTTATTGAATACATAAATATAGGAAATACACATAACCACTAGATAATTTACAAGGCACTACTAACAGAATAGGGTTCTCTTCTTTTACCTTTGTTCCTTAAGATTCTCACCTCAAGAGAAACCACCTCGGGCAGTGGAAGTGGTTGAATTCGGGTTTGTAGAGACTTTTCTGCTGCTTCTATATCCTGTAACAGACGTAAGCATTTTAAAAAGAAAATGTATTTACACAGCACACACAAATGGTACCTGTAATAGCAATATCTATATCCCAAATCTCACGCCCCAGCTCTTCTCTGGATACACAGTTTGAACTGATGGAGGGGCACTGAGGTAGAAGAACTGATCATTGCTTAATTAACCAGTTTCGAATAGAAAATTCAAGGTTTCTTATTTTAAAATAAAAGGGGGGAGTGGTGGTACTTCTAAGTTCTGCCTTTTCATTTTAAATAGTAAATGCCAATAATCCTTGCAAAAAGAACTGTTCAAAGTACTAACTTAGCTCTAAAATAATTAAAAACAGCCAGATGGATAAAACAGTCAAATATTCAGATACTAAAAAGTCAGATACCCAGACTCACACTGCTAACCTTCAGAGTCCATCCAATCATGCAAATGATGTATTAATGACACACATTTCACTTGTTCAGTATTCCACTTTAAAATTTTATACTTATGCAAATACCCCATATATACATAAAAGGTCAATAAGGTACTTCAGTACTTTGCAACAAGAACCTTTTCACTATACTATTTAGATTTTTAGTACTAGACTTCTAAAGTAATCTCGATAGGTAGGTAGTATATCATTCTGCTGGTGGTATTTAAGCACTGTGCTTTAATTTGAAGCATAACTTTTAGATGTGGGTGCTTTCTCTTACGGTCGCAGAAACACAAGGGTAATAAAACGTAATTCATACCCTGGTATAGACTTCTCCTTGATACATGCATGAAGTACACGCCCAGATATGTAGTACTGTCCAAGTTGTTCCCAAAACATTTCAGTTCTGTTTAATAAATGCTCCCCAAATCAGCGCTTATGTTGCCTTGTGCTTGCTTATGTTCGTCAGGTTCACAGAGGACTTGGTTGAAGGCTGTGTAAATTTTGTCTCTCCTTTGAGCTTAGTGAGTTGATAGAAAAGAGAACGTCCTCTGATCCATGTATAAGCACTAGAGCAATCTAAGTACAGGGCTGTTGGACAGACGGAGAGAGATGGAAAAGGGCGTGGGAGTGGGGTGTGAAGAAGCCAGTGCTGAACAGGAGAAAAGAGATAGCAGATGGTAGCGGCGGGAGCAAGGAATGGGTGTGAAATGTAAAAGGGAAAAACAGGAAATTCCCTAAAGGGACTCCCCAAAGTTGCACAACCATTAATGCACCTGCTGTCTAGAGGAAGGTGATTTGAAGGGAGAAAAACATCAATTCAAGGATAAAAATCCCATCTATTAACATGTCTATCCCATAGGAGAAGTTTAAGACACATGCTGAAGAGTTTTGATCCCAATGCTACAACAGATAAAGAAGACTAACTCTTCTGTGATTACACTGAGATTTTTACAAGGTCCTGGAAAAAAATATTTTTTACTTTTATAAAACAAATAGAATAAAATCACAGCCCCAATTATACCATTATTCTAAGAACAGTTATAAAGTTATTGTTAATGGTAGATCTAGGTGTCACTAGCATCTATAGGCAAAATTAAAAACATTTTTCTTAAATACCAGAAAATAAGGATACTGAATATCTCTTATAGAAGATCCAATTTACAAATGAAAGAACAGATATGAGAGGTACACATGGCCTGATAAAGCAAGCCTATGATTAGTAATTTGACTGTCTTCTCTGTAGCATTTCCACAAGAGATTATCACCCTCCAGAGAACTCCTTCCTGAAGTGAGATTTCACTTTCTTAGATGTTTTGCTTACCTCTCTGACTCCTACTTCTTTTTCTCCTCAGCTGGCTCCTTTTTTTCTCCTCCATCCTAAGTGTGGGCTTTCTTAAGATTTGTGACATCTGTCTTCATCTTATTTTTTCTCCCTCCAAAATTGTCTCTTCTTTAGCTTCAACTATTCATGTAGAAGGATGGATAACTTTTCCTTCTAGCCCTATTTCTCAACCTAATAAAATTAAACTCATCATCTTCCTAAAAATGTACTGAATGTTTAGCAGTGGGAATTCTTCTCACCCAGACACCTATGCTATATCCTTTATCTTCAGCTCTTCTTATTTCCTGCCATTTAAAAAGTCAAAGCTTCAGGATGTCTCCTCTAGCCTTCCCATGTCATTCCCAATGCTAAGGCCTTATTATTACACTCATTCATTTAACAAATACTTACCGAATACTTACTTGGACTTATGCCTAGACTATGTCTCTCTCATTCTACTTCAGTCCATACCTAACATGGAATCGATTAGTTTTGCTAAAAACTACTTTAAATATGTTCTTACCTAGATTGAAAAAAAAAATTGATAGCCACTACACAGAAGATGAGGTATGAATTCCTTAGCCTGACTGAAAAATTTCTTTGACTATACATTGTCAGAAGGAAAAGACTATGTCTTATACAACCTTTAAGCATCCAAGGTTCTAACAAAATGCAGGGTATGTACTAGGCACTTAAATATTCATTAAGTGAAGAAATGACTAAGGTGTCAAAGAGTCCTGAGTATAAACCAAAAACTTTTTTTAAAAAAAAGGTACCCAAGAGGGTGGGAGGAGAAAAGGAAAAAGGAAAGAGAGGCTAGCCTTACCTGACTATACCTTGTTGTTTTGTAGATTTGCCACTAGCCCATTTAAAACTTTATAGTTATAGAACAAATGAAATAGCAATCCCTAAAAGCTGAAAACAAAATGAGACAAATTTAACTATCTAGTTGGTGGCATAACCACACAGAGAAGTATATCTAAGAAGCAGTCTTAGAACATAGTATTTTGACTGAGCATCCCTAGTGGGATACACCCTAAGACAAAAAGAATTGTGCAAAGTGTCTTACTGAAAACCATTCTCAGTTATCATATTGTGGGTGGCACTGTTTGTGTCACAGGATAAAGTAAATATGTAGTTATGATGGTATTGGAAAATTCTTTGGGAACTGAGATTTTTGGTTTGAGAAATGAAAGTTAGAGGTCAGAGACTGGCGATTTTAAGTTAAAAGTCTTAAAATCTTGTAATAGAACTGGAATGATTGATATGAGCTCTTGATATAGTTTATCTTTAAAGAAAAGTTGTAATAAACACCCCTAGTGCCCAGACTGAGAGCTCTAAACGTATTTCCAGCCAAAAGGATCCAGGATTCCTTGGAGCAATGGTAAATTCCATGTCTGGGGAGCAAATGCACACAATGAACCTGGAAGATTCCATCATACCAGAAAAAAAGGAAACTATAAAGACTTAAGATCATGTCAAAGGCATTCAGGGGCTAACTTGAAGAGGTTCCCAATTGGTAAAAACAGGACAATTTGAGCATCAAAGGAATAAAAATTGAAATAGATTGAAATAATACGAGGTCTAAAGATTGGCTTCAAAATCTGAAGAGCTGAGGTTGGAGGAGAAGGGTATATAGATGAAACAACTCTGGATGTGTTTTGATCATTATTGAATCTGGGTGATAAGCATGTAGAAGTACATTCTTCTATTCTCTCTTATACATAGGCATGAAATTTTTCATAACCATTAAAAAACACAATTTTCAGTGTGGACAATGGTGTAAATGTTACTCCGTAGCAGGATTCAGCAGCCTGTATAAATGAATTGACTCATGATTGAGAAATGTAAAATATGAGCCCAAAAACTCATGTACTAAGGTCTCTTTCTTTTCCCCTTCCACACACACCCCCTTCCTTCCAACCTAGCAATATATATCTCCCTGTAAATATAGTGAACCTAGCTATGGCTGGGCTGGGTTTAATCTTTTAATCTGCTGAAGGGGTAATTTCTAGGATTGAAAAAATAAGACACTAAAGGAACACTTAATCATTCATTAAACGTATTTTCCATTGAAATGGAGAAAATAAGAGTTGTGAGGGAGAAAGAGGAAGATGTGGACTTGTAAGTCACTGGTCATCCTGGCTGGCAGTTTGTTGAAGGCTCTAACTGTCCCATGAAGCCTTCCAGGACATGCCTCAATGGAAGCACTCGGTGCATCGCTAATGTGCTCTAGCACTCCTCCCACTCGTTTTTACCCTGAAGTGTTTGTCCGTCTTCCTCATGAGATGACATGCATTACCCCAAAATTGCCTATTCGTGTAAAACTAAATTTCATGGAGAGAAAGGTGAGAGAGATGACAGCTTATATTATGGAAATATTTATAGAAACAAAATCCTCTCTCTTACAGATCCATACCAATTATGTTTTTAAAAGGCAGATAAATTTCATTTTATTAATACTAACAGGGAAAAATCACTCAGCCTGTTTTCAAAGTCCACTATCTTTTATGATATATACTGACTAAACTCTCGCTGTGAGTTCTCTTTCCTTATATTCATATTGATTCTTTTACTAATATGTTTGAATTTTTGATGGAATTAGTCTCTTCCTTATTGCTAGTCTTTTAAAAACATTGATATTCTTTGATATTCTTGCTAATTTATTATTCCAAATGCATTTATAGAAATTTTACTGGGTTTGATGTACATTTTGTTGGGACTCTATTAAACCTAAAAATAACTGTGTAACTGACTTTAGAAAAATAATAGTCTCTCTGGACAGGACTAACGCATGTGTCTCTGCTTAAGTTTTCTCTTAAATCTCCCACTGAAGTGTAATAATTGTCTTTACTACCAATCATGCATATTTCTTGTTAAGAGCATTCTCAAGTATTTTATAATTTTATTGCTATTGTGAAGTGATCTCTCATATTTCCAGCTGTATGTATAGGATTGCTATTGATTTTTATGTTTACCTTCTATCCATTAATTTTACTCAACTCATAATATACTAGCTTTTAAAACAATTTTGACTTTTTTAAGTATATAACTATACCATTTAAAAATGGTAGTGTTGTGTCTTCCTTTCCAAAAGTTAAAATTCATTCCCTTTTAGTGTGTATTATATTGGTCAGAACATCTAAATAAGGCCAAATAATGGATGGTGATAGATGTCATCCTTAGTTTGTTACTATCTTTATAGGAATGCTTCAAGTTTAATGGAAACATTTTTGAAGCATGTCTTGTACTTAAGTACATATCCTGATGTAGCTTAACGTGTTCTTGACAAGAGGTATTAGGAGTAGTTATTATAATTTCCACATCTCTAAATTAAGGGATTAGAGCAGATCAGTGGTTTTCCCATTTCCTTAGAGCCACAGCAGGGCAAGCCAGGAGGGGCTGAATGAGTGGGGCTTTGGGTCAAAGCAGGTCCACTTATATCTATTTTATATCTTTGTAAAAAGTTTTATGCTAAAAATATTGAAAATCTTTAGATGACAATCTAGTCTTTAAAGTCTCTCCCAACTCAAAATTCTGTAATCATGTCCTATTTATTTTACCTTCACAATAACTTCTATGGCAGAGCCATTAAAATTATTTCCCAAGTTAAAAAAAAATATGGCATGGAGACATGAAGTACAGCATAGGGAATGTACTCAATGATATTGTAATAACTATGTATGGTGCCTGAGTACTAGGCTAATTGGGGGGATCACTTTGTAAATTATATAAATGTCTAACCATTATGCTGTACACCTGAAACTAATATAAAATAATTTGAATGTAACAACTCTAATTGAAAATTTTCTAAAAAATAGGGAAAGCAAGATAAAAAATTGCATATACAATTATTCAAAGTTTGCCAAAAAAGGCAGGGAAGAGACTGCATCTGTAACAGCAAGCACTGTATCTGGAATGTAATAGGTGCTCAATAAATGTTTATTAAAAGACTACAAGGAAATATACAAAAATGTATTAATTTCTGGATGGGCAGGATGATATAAAAGTTATTCCATCTTTGCTCTTTCAAGTTTTTTTAGTGAGACTATATTACTTTGATAATCAGGGGAAAAATACCATATGACACTGATTTCTCGTGACTATGAAACTAGGTTCATTATCTTCCTTCTAGATATGACAACAATTTCATAGCTACTATTAAATGCAATGTCTCCATTCTTTAAATCGCTTTGCATATAAACAGCGAATGAATCCTTCTTAAATACCCACTCATATGTTTCTTATATGATTCTATTTTTCTGTTGCTCAAACATTTTCAATACTATATTATCTCTATATTTCAAGTCTCAACTTATTCATTTGGTCTCACAATACATATCCAACCTCGTTCCCCATGATTTTCCAAGCTAGTTAGCTCATGGTCCCATGAACATTAATAAGACCACTCATTCTTATGCTGTTGGCTCTTCTGTAAGAATCCAATGGAATGCCTTGCCTTCTGCCTATTCAAACACAGCTCCAGTTTAGCTTCCTCTCTGAGACTTCCTAGAATATTCTAGCTCTCAAAGATTTTTTACATGTACTCCTACGAGTGCTAAGTATTCCATATAACTTTATGTTTGATCATATAGTCTCATGTTTTGTGTGAGACAATCTTACATCATCAACTAAGCCTGTTAGCTATTTGATGTAAAGAACTCTGATTTATACTTGTTTTGTTGTCCCCACTTCCTAACCAGAACTAGCTCAATAGTAACAACCCTCTGGGTATTCATCAAATGCTTGCTCATTGAAAGGAAGCTGCTTGAAAACCAAATATTCCCTGTACTTGCTGCAGGTAAATGGCAAACAAGCCTTCAAGCCTTCTAATTTAGTTTTTCTGACTTTTCACAGCAAATTTCAGATTATCCTATATGTTTCCATTTAAAAATAAATATTGCAAACACCATTGGGCAAGTAAGACATATGGCAATATAGAATGCTTTGGTAGCACTATGGCTGTGACTTAAATTACTGTGGATCAAACTGCCAGAAGCTGAGAAGATAACTGAATTTTCCTCTTCCTTTATCCTCTAGCGAGGACAGAAGATAACTATATCATGCCTATCGATGAAAATATTTAACAATAAAAAACTGAAAACACTGCTTTATAACTTAAATAATATAGCCTTACTACCAAATGTTTTAGTCATAGGATCTCTTGGAAGCTTGACTGGAAGCAAACTTTTAGGGTTTTAATTATGGATGAAGCCATACAGTTCTGGAAGCAAAGTATAGCAAGCAGCGAAATATGTTACACATACGATTTTACTCCAAGTGGGCACATTGGCCAAATGGTAAAGCCCTACACAGTCACACACTTTGACCACCTCTGAATTACCGTCAAGAGATCTTGGAAATCTCTTTTCTTAGATATGAATTCTATGTGTTGACTGTGGCCCCAGTAGACAAAATCAAATGGTTCTTGTTTTTATGATGTTAGTTTTGAGTTAGCTCTAAATTCGACAGGTACTTTAGTTGGATCTAAATTCATGATATGTACTTTATGGTATTTTAGGATCTCCCTACAAATAGAAGTTAAAAGGTGGAAAGCTACATCTTGTATTTATTACTTCTTGCACAAAAGATGACCTTAAAATTCCTTCTGTAGTCATTGATTTTCTGGTTGATTGAAAACATTTAGCTTAAGCTAACTTCAATTATTTTCATTTTAATAAATGAGACTCCATATGCTAATTATCCAACTTCATTAATTCTATTTATTATTCATAACAAAGACATATAAATCAAAATTCACTTAAAACCTTTTTGCGAAGGTAGGGAAAATCTCTATACTCAAGTCATGGAAACTTACCTTTAAGAGGCTAAGGTTCCTTTTAAAGGCAGTCTCAGCTGCTTGAATCTGAGATGCTTTTTCCTTGTTTTGATCTCCGAATTTACTCTCCATTTGTTGAAGTAACATTAATCTTTGTGATACTCTAGAAAAAAATAAAGATTATTATATAGTTTTCTTTAAAAGAAACATTTTATTGTTTGACCAATATAAAACATTCATTTCTTAATTGTACTTCACTTCTAGTTCAGCCTATTTTGAAAGCCAATGACTATGTCAATTAATAAGTCATTGTAAAACAGGTTGTTCATAAGTCTTATAGCTGGGTAAAATTATTTTTATTTTATTTTCATTAACATATATACTGTACATATATGCTTCTGCCTTTTTTAGCCTCTCTGGTCTTTTAAATTATTTTAGTGTTGAAAATGTGTTTTAATTTTTGGTGAAAATGTAAACTGTAATACATATCCCTTTGTACACATACTTATATATACCTCCGCACACACATACACTGATATAACTTGCTATACAAAACCTTCTGCTTAACACTTCAATACCCCTGAATCTCATGTTACACATTTAGAATTGTGCTAAACTTCCATATGTCTGAAGAAGCAACAAAAATATTTTTTTCTTTTTCTGAAAGAAAGATGATGGTTCCATACATGAGAGGCTGTGTATATGTATGCATACTTACAGCAAGGTAAAACAGTAATTGAAGAAAGATGTAAAAAGTTGTAAGTAAATTATCAAACTATTTTGTTATCTTTAATATACTTTAAAAGTTTTTCACTGGTCAAGTGTTCATTTTACAAGTTTTTGGTCCTTTTAAATGATTAATAAGTAAATATGTACAATGATAGAAAATACGTAAGTGGTATATATAATAGCCTAACCATTTCCCAAATAGTTGTGGAGATTCTCAAGAAACACTGTGTTTCATAAGGCTACTTTTGAGGATAGAACTAAAAAATTGGTATTTGAACAGTCACTTTTGTAAAGAAAATATCTTAGAAGGCCAAGGAAGAGGGCCTGGTAATTAATTAGAGAAAAAGAAAACATGAGAGCCCACAGACAGAGGTTGAGGAGAGGTAATACTAAATATAAGTGCAAGACTGACTATATAATTTGCAGGGCCTAGTACAAAATGAAAATATGGGGTCCCTTGTTAAAACTAACTTTAAGACTGCAACATTAGAGTATTAAACTAAGTGCAGGGCCTATGGCTGCCCAGATCACATATTCATAAAGCTGGCTCTGGGTAAGAAGCTTAGAGATGTCCATTAAATATCAATGTGTAGCCTAGGAAGGGTGAGATGATGGGTGAATTTATCTAGATATTAGTAATGAAAAGTAAAAAGATATAGAACATAAGTATACCGTTTAATCTTTGTTATTCTTAAGATACAATGACATTCCCTTATACTAAAATCTCTCAAGTCAGGAAATTAAAATGACACACTTTCAGATTTTTAAGACTTTCTGTGCACACAATGTTTTACTAATAATGCCAGTACAAGTTACGCATTTAATTAGCTTTTTAAAAAACTTACATTTCTTCATGTCTTTTAGAAAGGCGAATTTCTTGAGTAAAGAAAGAAGTCATCTTTACTTAAAGCTGCCGTATAAGCTTTCTGCTAAATAATAAAAACATTTAAAGTTACTTATACCACATATCCTCAGTTTTGCAACTTTTGATCATTTTAATACCTCAACCACTTGTTCTCTCAGAAGGGGAAAATAAAACTTGAGATATAATAATGTATAAAATGAAAAAATGCATTTAAAAACATTTTTATATACAATGCATAGTTCTTATTCCAGATGCATCCAAGACTATCATGAATCAGGTAAACTCGACATATTTCAGATTTCCCCTCTTTTTTCCCCCACACTTTAACCTTGAACAGAATTCAAAACAAGCAAGCAGCTGGCACTAAGACTAGTAAACATTTTCTTGAGTCAACAAAAAGAAAAAAAAAACCACCTTGTAAAATTCAACGCAGGAACACCATCCCTCGTGCATGTGTGTGCACACACACACACACAGACAAAAAGGCAAAAAAGTATGAAAACCAATTGGAAATTCATGGTCTTTCCTTTCTTGGAAGACTGCTCAGTCCCATCATCTCTTTTCCAAATGTGAAAGTATTTTTTGCGTGTAATTGTGGGGGAAAATACAATTGGTTCCTTCACCTTACCCTGGCTGGTTAGGACTGTCATTTGGGAAATTTAGGAAAGCCCATTTTCATGGCACATGCACAAGTTCACCTCGGCTGAAGAGGCTGAGCCAGTACAGATAGAGGTCCAGCGAAGTGCACTGAAGGCTCGGACTTGAAGGCAAATCATCTGGTTGGGTGCAAAAATTCAAAGTCCCTGCCGTAAGGAAGAAAAAGACAAATGAAATTCCTTCGTGGAATGAAGTATCAGCTTTCCTAAATGTTATGAAATTAAACACTAACTGCTAATCGCCTGAGTGTCCTGCGCTGATGAAAAGACTGAGATCTTCCTTCAGCACATACGTATTGAGTGTAGGGCGCTGAGCCCAGCCAAAGAATGGGAAACACCACCCGGCCCTCATCAGATTTCCTCCTCAAGGTACCGGGATCTTGTCTTCAGCACCGAGGACAGCAATCACTCGCCCCAGCAACGGTCGGGTTACAGATATTTTCTGCTGAAATCACTGGAGGCCAATCCTCGCTGCCTTCCTCTCAGTTTCCAATGTAGTGTTAAGGAAATCCTGGAAAGTTAGTCCATGGTAACTTCTTTTCTATTACGCCTGCCATCAGGACTTGAGACAAACCCCACAAATTATGCCTTTCGAACCGAAGATCCGCACCGTCTCAGAGTCATCAGCCCTCCGACCGCCCCAACTCCTGCTTACACCCAAAGGACTCACGAACTTTCCTCATCGCCGCAGTTTTTGCCTCTTAAATAACATTCTCCTCACTGGCCCTGCAGGTACCTGCGCCGCCTCAGACAGTCAGAGCACCCACCCGCGTGGTGATGCTGTGGGACTTCACTCACCGATCCCCACTCTGACCTCTTCCGGAAAGGCGCCAGCGTCTGTGCAGAGGCTGGGTCTCCGCGCAGGCCTGGGCGTGGCCACGCCACCGTCTTTGCGCATGCACAGCCGAGCTGACATCATCACGGCATTATAAAAGGCGGGCCTCTGGAGCGCGAGGTTAGTGAGGTGGCGCTGTTCTGAGGCGGGGGTCCTCTGAGGTAGCCATACCGAACCCTGGGGAAACTCCGTTTGGCGGAAGCTCAATTTCAAGGCCTTTTATGGGACCTGAATATGTTCAAAGGCTTCAGAAAGTGAAGCTGATTTCTTAGAAGCTAGAATGTCACGGTGGACTGTGGACATTAGGAAAAACGTTTCAAAATAGTCCAAAGTGTTTGAGTGGACGTTACAGTCAGTTAAAGCACTTTACTTAGAATAGCTTCACCCTGAGCATCCCATACTGAACAGAGGAGCGAAGTGCCTGCTGGCTTGTTCGCATCCCCATAAGGGCAGTGATGCTGATTGTTCACATCTTGAGTTTGTGTGTCATTCACTGTATTTACGTGGATTATTTTATTCATCGAATCCGCACAATGCCCGGTGAGATATTATTTGACAGAAGAGGAAACAAGCTTGGTCATTTATTTAGGTCATAGCTTGAAACCAGCAGAACTTTTATTAAATTTCTCATAGCCCTCAGGACACACACTTGGGAATCATCCTTTACTGCTGCTGTAAAGTGCATTCAACATCTTTCCCTCACCCTCACCCCCACTCCAGTTAAATAACTCTGAGGTATGTGCTACTATTCTTAATTACAAAGGAAGACCGAGGTTCAAGAGGTAAAATTGTCTTCTTTCCAAAGAATCTTGAGTTGGTAAAGGGCAAAGAGCTAGGACTTTAATCCAGATGGTCTTTTTTTTTTTTTTACCTCCCAAAATACCTACATATAATTTAGCTCTTGCTTCAGGACTACAGCACTTAATGTTTCCTTTGCTTAGAAAACCTCTTCCCCAGATACTTACATAGACTCAGTTCCTCATCTTTCAATGCGATTTCCTCAAAGAAGCATTTCTTGAATCTCCAGCATAAGATTACAACTCTACCTCTTCTCTCTCTGTCCTTCTCCTGATTTATTTTTCACTACAACGGAGCACCATTCCACAATTCTTATAATCTCTTGTTAGTTTGTTTTCCAGTTGTACCCCTTACAGGAATTTGAATACCCTGAGAACAGGTATTTTTGTCTTTTTTATTTGCTGTTGTGTCCTCAGCAACTAGAATTGCCTGACATAGAAGTGCTCAGTAAATATTTTTGAATGAATGGATGAAATAATTTCCTGAAATTTCATTATAACGTAACAAAGGTCTGTCTTCAAGTGGTAGGACCTTTGACTTAGCTGTTCCACAACTTTATTTAGTAAAGAGGAAAAATAGACCTGTGATTGGTCCTGTGTTCTAGGAATGAATTAGAAGTTTTGCATTGTCATAAGGCATTCTCATTTATCTTTTACATAAGTTTACAAATAAAGATTTTTTTCGAAGTTAGTAATGTGTTGCATGAAATAGAGAACAGAGTGCACATTAAAGCATCTGTATGTTGCTTAAAACAAACTTTGCTCACCTCTCTCCTTTGTATAAGTTTGCCTAGTGACACAGATGGGACAAGTCCAGCTCTTTGAACTTTAGCCCAGCGTTTTTAGGTCATTGTCTGGTTTAGCAGTGAACCAAGGAATACCTTGGAAATTTTCACGCAGGTTTTAGGAGAGCAGTAATCAGGAACACATCACAGACACTTAGAGGTTATCTACGTAAACATAATTTATAGCATCCCAGAAAAGTACTTACTCTCTACTTAAAGCTCTGCTGTGATAGCTCCCCTCCTCATGACAGAGCTCACAGGTGAGCCTTCGGTGAGACATAGGGCTGAGGAGGAAGACTCTGGCAATTGCAGACTATCTATTAGTATACATCTTCTGTATTTATCAGATGAATTTGGGAACTTTCTGAAGTGAGGTATTCATGACCTACTATGCAAATTATTGCAACCTTCTAAGTAACACCTGGGAATAATGAGGCATTCTGTAAATGTATAGTGAAGTTAATATTTCCTAATCCTGGACTAATTCTGTGTAACAAAATGCTATAATTGTCCCCTTAGCTTCTTAATTATTTAGAAAGAACTGTGCCATTTAGTCATAAATTCTACAAAGATATATTTATTAAAAATCTGTAAGATATAGTCTCTGCCCTCACGAGCCTAGAATCTGGCCGGGCTCTTAAGGTATACAAAAAAAGCTACATGATGACAGCTGACAACATAAAAATGACTAATATTTATTGCATGCTCATTCTGTACTAGGCACTTTGCATGAATTGCCTCGCCTAATCCTCAGAACAACCCTATGAGCAAGGGTGCTAAATTCTAACTATCCCCATTTTTATAGTTGAGAAAATAGGCTTAGAGAAATGACTCAAGATCACATGTCTAGTAAATGAACCTCAGCTTGTTCGATATTACTAGTCCAAGTAATTATGTATGTTATATTGAGAATGTATAATTAAAAATATCATGCAGATTATAAGGCTGCTAGAGAAGAAAGAGCACTATGAGTTGGAATCATCTAGACAGCATTTTGGAAGACAGGTAGATTTTGAAAACTGGGTGGGATTTAGAGGTCTGTTTTTGTAGTTGGGTGTATCAGGTGACAAGAGAGTGGAGCATGAAAGAGGCAATGTGCACAGAAGTGTGTACATGAGAATACATCTGGGTTGAGGGCCAGTGGAAAGGAAGCATTGAGAAGAATTTTCTCCTCATTTCCCCCAATTTTGAAGATTTCATTTCTGGTGTTGGAGAATTTTTAAATAGAGGTTAACAGTAATGAGGAGGAGTTCTTGGAGAAGATGAGACTGATAAATAGAGAAGGGAAATGAGGGCAGAAGGAAGGCTTGAGGATGAAAAAGGAAGGACAAGCTTTATAGAGTAAGAAATAATTAAAAGAATTGCAAAATCTTTGACAATTTTAAAGACTCCAAATTATTATCAATAAATTCCAATAGTTTATAGAGAATCTTTTTATACAGTCTTTTTAGACCTTGGGTTTAGGTTTACTCTGGGTAAGCAATTACTAAGAAATAAAGACCTCTTACCTGAAATGGAATTAGTTTATCTTCCTGTTTCAGGAAATCCCAGGTGAATTTGGTAAAATGGGTACAATTGCCTGTACTGCTTCTCTTCACTTTGAAATAAAATCATTAGAGGTGCCAGGTAGGTACTAGACTAGGCGGAATCACTTTGTAAATTATATAAATGTCTAACTACTAAGTTGCACACCTGGTCACCTGAAACTAATATAAAATAATATTGAATGTCAACTGTAATTGAAACATTTTTTTAAAGTAAAAAAGAAAATCATTAGAATTTTACCTTTTTCCATAGTTATAGACTGTCCATTTTGCTATGGAAGAATATTCCACATGCAAAATATATCTGAAATACTTTAAACTGGCCTTTGAAGGGTTTTGACCAGAGAGAATTTACAACTAGATACCTCTTTAGGATCTTTCGTCAACCTACAACCAATCAGATAAAACTCTGCAATAAAGAAATCATTATCATAGCTGGTATCTACATTTTTGGCTGAGAGAACAAGGCCATTTTGATAAAACTATGTTTAATCCTAGAGATTTCTAGTGAGAATTTGTATATACCTCTTCCTTCTAGAGAGAGCAAATTAAAAACCTCACTAGTTCTAAGCATTAGCATTTTAAAATTGAAATCACACATGATAATTCTTAGCAAATCATTTGTGTGTTGTATACACAGTAAATATGTATACCTTTTAACTTCCCAAATATCAATAATTTAAAACTCAATATCCTTTGTCTTAAACTGACACCCTTTCAATTGTATATAATTTATAAAGGCTTTTTTTTTTCCCCCCCGGTAATCCCATCTCCTTGATTTCCCAGCAGCTTTTATTATATTCATAGTCTCTCTGTGACTCTTTAACTCAGGCTTTTCTTGAAGTAGGAATTTTCTCTTTCATAGCCTTCCCGTCTGATTATTTTCTTCATTTTTTATCCCTTTTGCTGTTACAGTGCTATAACAACTTTACTATTAGTCTACTATTGAGTAAGCAATTAAAAACCTTCTGAAATGCATACTTGACATAGTAAGCATTGTATTATGTCATGCTCACCTTTTTGTAATGCTCTGCAACCGTAGTTACTGAAAACATTCAAGGCCCCTTGTGCAAGCCATTTTTTAAATCTTTATTGTTTGCTATATCAATTCACTTGAAAACTTTGATATAACTTCCTTTGAAAAAATAAGAGTTGCAGCTTTACTGCATTGCAACTTCTGTGTTTCAAGATATAATGGTGTGTAAAAATATTGTTAGAAAAGACTTGTAGGTTAATGCGTTTGGAAAAGATAATTTGTTAAAAATCCATATCCTTCATTTATATGAGAACAGCATGAAAAAATGTTTTACCTACCTTTTAACATTTCATGGGAATACATTTCTTCTTTTGCTAGAGCACGAGGACTTATTTCAAATTTGATTGTATTTTTCTCTTAAATATTCCTTTGTTGTTGCTTTTTGGATATGACTTACTTAAATTGAAAGCCAAGCAATTGTACCGATGGTTTATTCTTACCAAGTTCCTTAAATTTGGACACAAATGTCAATTGGGACATAAGACTATTAAAAACTTTAGTTAAATATACACTTGGGATTTGGCTAATTTTTATAATCATATTTTTTAGAGGTAAAAATGAATTCTTGAATATCTTTACATATGGGCCTGCTTTTGAGTTATGAAAAAAAATACAAATAGAAGGCTGTAGATGTAGACAAATTAATTTTATTTAAGTTTTTAATGTATTTCACCAAGTTCAAATGTGTATCAGGTTGCTCACTGGCTTGTTTATGCATTCAAAAATAATGTTTTAATTAGATTAAATGTGAGCCTCACTTTTTAGTCAACCTAAAATACTTGCAGCCAGT